GTCCTGTTTTTCAAGCGATACCATTCATGTATTTAATTTGCTTATGTGGTTTATTTTATCAAGGACTGAACGCTGATCTCTAAAGATTATTAGGACTCTGAGAATTTGTTGGGCTAAAAAAGGCAACTTGCTAGTTATGAAATATTATGAGGAAAGAACCTGGTAAGCTCAACTTACGTACTGAAGTATCTTGTGAGAGATCAACATTCAGGTTTCTCTTTTACTGGTTGCATTGGGATATTGCCTCTACTGGGATACAGTTTACATTTTAAAATATTATTCCCTGGTTCAGTTGGAAGTCATTATGAAAAAGACCTCACCTCCTTTGCCTTTTTACATTCCTATTTATTTAAGGGTAACTGTCATTTTCTAACCAACTCTACTAAGGACCTCATATAATCAGTGTCGTACTACTCACGTTTTTGCTGGAGGAATACAGTAGTATAATTTTGCTACATACAAGGAGACAGTGAATAAGATTATAGCTGAAACAACAATAAATGGTTATTACTGGATGGTGCTTTGCAGTAAAAATCTGTGAAATATTACTTTGAAATCCACTTAGCTCGTGCGTATTTCAGCAATTTTGTTTATTTGTGTAGCATTTACGGGCATCTTCATTTCAGTGATGAGTACAAAACACTGGGGTAGAAATTACTGAAATTATGGCACTGAAACATATAAAGCACATTAATATACTACTCATTTTAGGGCAAACAATTCAATATTCATCTTGAAAAAGAGATAGGTGTGGAGTGGTCAGCAACACAGCATTTCTTCCATTCAGTGAGATACTGAAAAGACCAGGAATACATAGTTGTAACAACTATGAAAAACAGAATCAGCATTCAAAAATACTGTTTACTTTTATGGAAATATAAGACAACATGTAGTGAATTTGAGAGAGAGGAAGATTAAAATGCAGAGAATATTTTATTTGTACAGGCCAAAACCAGTGTAGATAGTATAGAAGCACACTGGGATACAAAAAAAAAGGTATTTGTATTGATAATAAAAGCATTATTTCAGAGTATAAACCAGCTGCTCCAGAGAAATAAATATCACAATCTTTTTATTTAATTGTAGTCAGTTACATCATTATGTATTAAGAAGTTTTTTAAAGCAGTCTGAAAGCGTTTGATTACCAGAAAACATACTGAGGTTAACTGGACCGTGTTTAGGGTTTTATGGAAATAAGCTCATACTTGGGTGTAGTAACATTAGACAGAACAACAGTGTTCTCATTTTAAAAAGTTTATCTTAGTTTTCCTTTGTCTTGCCATGTCTTCATCCAGCACAGGCTCTGCTGAATAGCCTGGATGTTTCATTTTTCTCCCCTCAGAACCCTGGAATCAGATTTAGTTAGGAGTTGCCTTTAGAGGCCTCTGACATCTCTTTAGATGTGCACACATGGAGTCCCTTACTAGTCCTCCTGGAAAATCAAGCACTTCTTGGTTTCAGGCAGGAGCAAGGATGGAAAGGCAATTTGAAATTTAAGTAGAGAGTTTTAACGTAGTCAATTATACTTTGAATGAAGTCTGCTGCTTCTCATGTGGCATAAAAAAAGCCCAGAATAAAAATAAAAATAAAGTCAGTTTTGAGGGAACTTGATGTGGCTCTGAAAGTTATTTCACATAGACGTAAGAAAAGCACCAGAGGTGCTTTTGTAAGTATGGAATTGAGACATCTCTTTTCTGAATAAACCAAAACAATAAAAAAACCCAAACAACCCCAAGCAAACCAAAATTTTCAGTCCAGAAGGGAAAAGATACAGAATACAGTGTGATGAGAAGAGACATCAGAGAGAAATTATGCCACTCACGTATGAAGATATAGGTTCAAGTGTCAAGTCTGATGGATGACTCAGGATCAGTAACAGCTCTTTAAAATATGATTAAAATACAAAGTTTTGACAAAATTTAACTTTGCTGACAGTTTTATCAACTTTGCATGTAAAATAACACTTCAGAAAATCAGGGGAAGCAGCTACTGAATTTTTGGATTTATTCAAGGGATTCACAGTGCTAATGAGAATTTTTAAATGTTTATTGACAAGTAACTTTTTCAACATGTAACATTTTCCCAGAAAATAGTTCAGTTCTCGTTAAGTTACTTGCATTTTTTCATGAGTAAAAAAACCCAACAAAAATCAGTATAATTATTTTAAAGTGCAAAATATCTCATTTTCTAACAATTATTGATATCTGTGGTACCCACAGAGAAAATATTCTTCAAAATTCACTTGGGCAAATTAGTGTTTTATTACACAAAATGAACAAGACCATTTTAATTTTGCTCTCTTTGTATCTTCATTGTAGCACACTTTTTTGTAACTGACATGTGACACACCACAGTAACAACTGATCTGGGAAACCCTCAGTATTGCCAATAACATATAGCAGGCTGAAAAATTGAACTTGCTGTTCTGAGAAATAAAAAAGCAATCATTACTTGGACTGAGTTATCAGTCCTGAGGTATCAGTTGCTGAAGAAAAGACTAAGTTAAAAGTTTTGAGGTAGCACTTCACTTGAATGCTATGACAGAATGTTAATAGAATAGTAGCAGCATGAATGATACAGAATATGAGGAAAGTCACACTGAGAAAGATTAGGAAAAGATTTATTACAGGGTGTTAGTGATAGTATACTGTACACTCAAAGGGTGGATATTATGGGAAGAGTCCTTGATAATATTTTAGATGGCTGAATATTCCTGGGAGTTGTGGGAGACTTCAACCTCCTTGTAAATTAAAAAAAAAAAAAAAAAAAAAAAAAACCAAACAAACCAAAAAACCAAATCCTAAACCAAAATGTTACTGTCCCTATTATTCTATGTATCATTAATTTGGAAACATTTTGAGACACCCCAGTGATAAGCACTAAATTCCTCTTAGTTCTCTATTTTTCCATTTCTCTAAAATCCTCATGTGTAAGCATAAAACCTGACAGAGAAAAAAAAGCTCGCTTGTGTGGGAAAAAGCACCTATTCAAGTAACAGCACTAATGAAAGAGAGCAGTATAAATTGCTGGCAAAGCAAATTGCTTTTAGCATGAATGTTCTTTCTTCAAGGTCATTCTGGTATAAAAGTCCTTTGCAGCTCTCTTGCATTGCACATTTCAATTAATATATAATTTTTGTTAGCAAGGATTACTCCTTACTAGCATTAATCAAGCACATTTTGTATGCAAATAAGGTTGAGTAGAGCGGTGCAGCCTCAGTGCTAGGGAGAATAATGAATTCATTTCCCTGTCCATGTGTGCTACGATGGATGACACGTGTTACATATCCTTACATGAGGCCACAGCAATGGAGGTCTGGACACAGACACGGAGGGGCACTGCACAGTGCACCAAGTTTTTGGCTTTCCCGCGGAAAAGCTGGAGCACTGCACAGCAGCGGGGAGTCTGTGACCACCTTGGTCACAGATATATAGAGCATTGGGCAATCTTGTCCCTTCCCTCTAAGTAAATCTGTGCCTAGATTAGCTGCAACTGATTAGTAGGGTAATTTTAGAAGCAATACTTTGTTTATGCTAGAGTATGCCTGTCTTCTGGTGACCCAGAACTCTGATTCAAACCCACAATGTATGGGATATATTTTTCCAGAATTCTTGCTTCGGAGGTGCAAAATAGCTCTACAGAGGTTAAACCAGACTTACATATTCATCATACATTGTTAAGTACTCCCATGCAAAATTGCTTCCTCTTACTTGTGGAATGCATGTTGTACATGTGGCCTCATCTAATCTTTTGCCACTTTACAAAGCAAAATCATATTTAAATTCAAGAGAATGGGGCAGCCTTCAATTATACAAGTTAAAGGATATGTGCTGCAGTTTGTAATGATTGCATATACATTATATATTCATTTAATTGCGCTACAGAGATGCTGATCCTAATTAAGACTATATTGGCTTCTTCATTGAAAAAGGTTCAAATTGCCTAATTAAGCATCAAAAAAAAAAAAAAAGAAATTAAATTAAGACTCTCTATATGAGTTAACCAAGTTTCTGCCAAGTTTTAACTCACCTATAAACCTGGAAGAGGTTTTATCCTTCTGTGTCTCTTCAACTTACCCTCTTCAACTGAGACAAGGGTGGGAGGTCTGAGGGGCAAACGTCTTGTTCAGGAGGTATTCTTCCATTTTCTGTTTAGGCACCTTCTTCCTTTTGTGGGTCCCAGATGTATCATGCAGTTTAGTACAGTACAACTCTTGAGTATGTTAGTTTGGGACTTTATTTTTCTGAAAATTATGCTATCCAAAAAGACTTCTGAAGAAGGGGAGCAAACAATGCAGAATACAGGACAGATGACTAATAGGAACAAGGAGACCAAATGCACAAGGTAAATTAAGTGAGTTCCTCTGAGTCTTCTGGGTCCTGGCATCTCTCTTTCCCAACTTTCTGTTACCTGATGCCAAGCCTATTTTTCCAATTCACTTCTCTTCATTCCACCTGAGGAATGCTTTCTACTTCATTATCTCCACAGATTTTAACTTTGCTCTTCAGTCACTTTATAAGCATACACAACATTAATGTCTTGCATATGAATACAGCATAAGTTTCTGAAACTTCACACCTTAAACTCTCTCCGAATGCAGCACAAGAGACACAGATAGACACTGTGTACAGTTTCCCTGTCTGCTGCATGGAATGAGCTAAAAAGTATGTCAGTGTACTTTCACAATTTCTGTATAGCTGGGAATTTAAGGAACACATGAAAAGTGTGAGGGTTTGGCTTCTAAAACTTACACATTAATGTGGATATTAGCACTGCCACTAAAGGCAGTTTCTGTAATTTATAGTTGTACTGCCACATGAGTAATACTAAATTAACTAATCTTTGTGTGGGGGTTCTCTGACATATGAATAAAATGTTATTCCTATAAAATATGCAAAACTTAAGTGTATACATGAATGAATTTTCATTTTATAGGTGCCTTTAGATAGTAAAAAAGTGGGGGTGTTTTTTTCTGATTCTTCCTCTTATTGTCCTGACAGTACAAACAAGTGGAACAGTACATGTCATTCCACAAGTTACCTGCTGAAATGCGACAGAAGATCCATGATTACTATGAGCATCGCTACCAAGGCAAGATCTTTGATGAAGAAAACATTTTGAATGAGCTCAATGATCCCCTCAGGGAGGTAAGAAGTAGTTCTTCATGGTATGGAAAACTTTAATGTCTTTGCTGTTTCTGTGTTTAAATGCTCTTTCTGATTCTATTATTTAACATTTAATCTCATTTGACCTTGTCAATGAATGACCAGGAGAATGAATTTTATATTAGATCAACAGAAAGAAATAAGCAGATTTACACTCTGTTTTGAAGCAGTCTGTCAGAGTCACTGCTACCCAAGGATGTCAAACAATAAAATCCTATCCTTAATTGTTAAGAGAAACTCATGTTTTTCTGCCATTCTTTAAAATAGGGAGGGGCTGAACTAGAGTGATCCTGTGTGAAAGGTTTTTTTCTGCTCTCTCTGCTTGCTAACCACACATCTGTGCAGATGAAACTGCTGAACGCCTCCAGTGAAGGGAGAGCTGTTTTGTTTCAGCCTGTGAAGTAGCATCCTTGGTTAAAGTGGTTTTCCTTGAGACGAGGAAGCTGGAATATGATATACAGGGCATTAAAAAATACATTTTGTTAAAACTGTAGTCTGTATTCCAGTTTTGCAGTTTTTATAATGTTATATTACACTATATTACATTACATTACGTTATGTTACATGACTATGTTATGTATGGAAGCAGTTGGAATTTTCTTTGTCAAGGTGCTTGCCTGGGAGGAAGGCAGTGTTCATCTTGTTGTAACAAAGATAGCTGCTTAGTGAAAATATAAATATGACTGTCTTCTGTTGGGTGGTGCTCATGCTTGACCTACTCAAGGATGCTTGTGTTATCAGTTGGATGATATCCTCTACTTAAAGGAAGTAAAAAATAAACAGGAGAAGAATAAAGTTGAAAAATTTAGAGAGAAGAAAGTATAAACAAGGAAAAGTGAAAAACAAGAAAAGGGAAGAATAAAGGAGGAGCAGTCTGATACATGATGAAATCTGTGTAATTTTCAGTGATACCAAGTAATGCCTTTTAGTATCTTCTACCATGGTAGAAGTGGTTCTGTATATATGTCTGTGTATATGTGTAAAATATATATATATAACACTCAACAGAGCACAGGATGACATCTATACTTTTGGAAGGATATGCGAAGGGTGGGCTTTTTTAACAAGTTCTGTGGCATAAGACCATAGGTCTGTGATGGATTGTCTGTACTACCGAATCCTGCTCTTTGTTGTGAAGAGAAAACATATACAATCCATTGCCACAACCATTTGCTTCATATTAAAAACAGTTATGAGAAACAATGCCTTGCCCATTCACAGGCTCTGAGGGCAGCTGGCACAGTTTTGCCATGTCTGTGTTACAAAATTCTGGTAGTGACCCCCCCGCTTACAAACTGCCAACTGGGAATGGTGAACAGTGTCCAAAATTGCTGGGTCATTGCTAGATGGTTCCAAGTCAAATCAGGCCAAACCATGATTGTTCTAACAGTTTAACAGTACAGAGGAGTGAATTCCAGTGCTTGGGCTCATTTAATTCCCTAACATAGATGTAGCCCAAGTCCTTCGGTTATATTGTGAATTTGTAGGTGTTTTTGAGGGCAGGTGGAGGGCTCTGGCTTCTGTACTGCCTCTGACAGTTTACCCCCTGGTTCCTCTCAGTAGCTTTTGAAATGTCAGGAGGAGAATGTACTATAAAAATCTATCATGTAGGACAGAAAAGTGTGGGAATTATCCTTAGAGTACAGTGACAGTCAAAGCATGAATCTTGGCCAGTATGGAGCTTTTGTTTTGTTAAAGGAACAGTAGCACGTACAGATGCATCAGTTGCTGACATTAGAAACTGTTTCATCTATTTTCGCTTTTAAGTAAAGCATTTCTTCATAAATGCAGTCTAATTCCCTTCCATTCCCAAATCTTCTTTTACTAACACCTATCTTCAGTTATCACAGTCTAATTACCTGTCTTTTCCTCCTTTATTTCCCCCTCCTTGTTTCCTCCATTATTCCCTCCCTCCCCTAGTTCTGTACCCTTCACTCCCTTTTTTGTTACTGCTTAAGAGCAGCAAGGTAAATTTGGTCAAGCATAAAAAACAGAAAGCACTTCTGGGGAGAGATCAAGCATGGAAAATTTCAGAAATTCATGAGCCACTAAAAACATGGAGTAAGAATAGAATTTCACGGAAGGAGAGGCTTTTGGTTTTGCTGTGATGATGCTGTACTTAGCATGTCTTCTTTGTTCTCTGTACTATATAAGAAAAAATCATTACTCAGCTACAGTCAGGTTGCACACTACCCTATGATGACAACATATTAGATGGTCCAGAAAAAGATTTAAAAAAAAAAAAAAAGTAAGAATTGGACAGTGACAATGCCAGAGGAGGTTTTGTAACTAGTCTGTCCAAACTCTGGTGGCAGCTCATGCACTGTGCCCTGAAAACACCACTTGGGTGGGTGCTTAGTTTAGCAGTTTCAAATTCTATTTTAGCTACCACTTCAGCATGTGCAGTTTGGTGGTGCAGGTAGTGGCTTTTTGATGTTACTACTGGATAAGTTAGAGCCTTTTAAAGGCAGAACACAATTGTTCATATATTGGATGGGGTATACCATCATACATGCCTGTAACTGCACAAGCCTATAATGTCCAGGTGATTACACAGATACCTTAGCTGCATCATTCAAGAATAAATATTTACTGCATTTCTTAAGCTTTTTATGAGTCCTACATTTTATTATACTTTGAGTTTAGCATAGGATAAGAATTAAATATTCAAGAAATGTTGCAGTGTTTTCAGTTCTCTTTGTTCTCAGCCATTCAAGTTTACTGTATGGGCTGAAACTTTCCACAGCTAGGCTCTCTTTAGGAGTCATGACCATTTTTTGGTCCATATTTTAAATGTTTGGCTCACTGTTTTTTAGCAGAAAAGTAATTATGATCAATATAAATATGATATATATATATATATATATATATATATATATATAACATATATATATCTATTTATGATTAATATAAATATGATCATTCAACCATTAAAAATAGCTAAAGGAAGTAGAATTAGCAGTAAAATTAATTTTTACATGATAAATACTACTAATAAAGCTGTATATGCTTACAGTAGAAGTAAGACTTTTTTGGTAAATAGGATGGATTATAATTTTACTGAGCCTCTGAAAATTATGTATGGAACATTCATAGTAGATTGGATAATTAAAATCTTGAAAGGCTAAGAAAATTTTTGATGCATATGTGTGAGTGACTAACTTTGTTGGGTAGCAGAAATAGAGTCATGTTTATTGTGGGGAATTATCTAGGGCTTCATGAAAAAAATCAAAAAAGAATCCTGAACATTTTTAAATTTTACAAGGCTCTCTCTAGATGCTTCATAGCTGAGTAAAGTAACTGGTAGCTGACCTGTGTTATTCAAGGATAAGCTTGTATGAATAAAGAGATTCTCTTCAGTGACTGGGAACTAAGGTAGACACTTAATAAAAAATGGGATTTAAAAACTTAATTTTCTCCCCAGTTAAGCTAGTTGCACAATTTGGGTATATTAGTCCCATGGTAATGTAGTTAATTGGATATCCTCTGCTCTACACTCTCAAACTGAATTAACCATGCGTTGCCATATGTGGTGTGCTTCTACCTGCTCATAGGAAAAGGTGATCTCTGATGAAAGTAAGGAATTAAAGTTGCTTTTCATTAAATTCAGAAATTTCACTCTTACAGAAAGGAATATCCTCTTTTTCACAGTTAGACTTTTCTGATAATAACTGCCCAGCCTTCTTGAGAATTGCATAGTCAGGAGACACCTTGCAGTTACAATTTTGGTAGAGATGGAAGATTTTAAATTGCTGCTTCCAGGACTTGCAAAGTTGGATTAATCAAACCTATCTGTATCTTCATACAAGTTCTGCGACAAGTCTGAACTAATCATCAGGCTCCTTCTGCACACGCCACCCCCACCTCCAATGCACACTCTCACGGTAAAGAAAACTTGGCTGACCATGTTAGAAAAAAGGCTACATCTTCAAACAGCAGTTGGCACGTGAAATAAATTCTGCCTTTAATAGCATTTGCAATTAACTATATCCCTCCCTCATTTCTTGAGGTAGTATTTAGCAGTTTGTAACAATTAGCATGTTTCCCTTATATAAATACCATTTCTGGTTCTTCAGCAGAGATACTTGTGAAGATTTCTAAAGTTCACATTTTTTAACTTGGACTTTTTACCACCTAGCTGCTTGAACATCATCTGACATCCTAAGGCCCTAGTCCCCAAAGTGGTCTTTATAACTGTCATGACATGAAATGGCTACGGTACAGACAAGAACAACAAAAACAAATAAACCCCCCCACACAGCTAAGAGAATTCTATTCCAAAAGGACACCTGAGTTACAGAAGATTAGAAACATATACGTAAGCTGTTTCATCTAAGAACATAGTGTAAGAAATGTCAAAGTGTCTCAGCTCTGGTGTTTCTGTAAGCGACCAGTCTTGCTAGCAGTAGGTTGATGCCCATAGAAGAACAAGAACAGGGCAGGCATGGTATTTCCCTTAATGACTCTCCTAGACTCCCAGTGTTTTTAGTTCAAGGGATTCTCTGAGACTGGTGTGATTTGTCTACTGGGTAATCCTTAATGTATACCTCTTCCAATTACTTATTTACAGTCCTCTTGAATCCATGTACTCTGCAGCTACACCATCCTTTGGCAAGGAGCACAGACCTGTAGCCTGATGCATGAGAAACCACCTCCTCATTTTGGGATTGAACCTGGCTCTTACTGTTTTTTGGTTTTGGTGGTCATTAATTCTTGTAGCAAAAGTAATAGTACAGTCAATTCCTATGCACTCTTCGCATACCAGGTACGATTTTATAGACTTCTATTATAACATCCTTAAACTGTATTTTTTGGAAGGTATAGAGACCTATTCTGCTTAAATCTTGCATGGAAGTCAGCTCACCCCAATGGTTATCCTTCTTGCCATTCTCAATAATTTTTTCTGGCTCTGCTATATCCTTTTAGAGATGAGAGAATGAGATCTGCAGCCAGCATACTGATAACAATTTGAATAATTCCTC